TAAAGATTTGTGTTAATGATTTTAGGAGAAAATTTAAGAAAAGGGCCAAATTTTAAGAAAAAATTGGGGATCGTAAGGAAAAATGTTTACCTTCTCAGCAACGAAGTCAAGAGTTTGAGGGAATTTTAAGATTTTGTGTTAATGATTTTGTGAGAAATTTGTAAGAAAAGAGCCAAATTTTAAGAATTAATTGGAAAAGGAAAAAAGAAAATTTTTACCTTCTCAGCAACAAAGTGAAGAGTTTGACGGAATTTAAAGATTTTGACTCAAAATGTGAGATTTCAAAATAACGATCCTCGGGGAAATTTCAAAATAAAAGCCAAAATTTTTGGAATAAAATTGAGGAATGTAAGAAAAAAATTAGGCTTCTCAGCAAAAAAAGTCAAGAGCTTATTATAGATTTTGAGTTAAAATTTGATGTTTTAAGTCTTTATTATGATCTGTTGGAAGGTCAGTATTGTTGATTTTTAATTGAGGTAATCGATAAAAATTGTGAGAACTCAGTCCAAATTCTAGATTTCGAATAAAAATTTGACGTTTCAAGTCTTTATTACGATCTGTTGGAAGGTCAGTATCATTGATTTTGTGGTAATCGATACAAATTGTGAAAACTGAGTCTTAAAAAAGCAAAATAGTGGAGAGAAGTCTTGTAAAAACTTTGAAGAAGAAAGATAACTGAAAATTTTAAAGTGCTTCTGAGTAAAAGATTTTGATAATCAACATAGATTTTTGACATAATTGATCGATCTTGGCAACACTGAAAGTTTAAACAAAAACACGATTAGCCCGTCACACCAAACTTTTATTTTAATAGCACAACGCGTTTCGACCACAAAGTGGTCATCCTCAGGTGAGAATAAAACTAACTAATTTAACAATTGTTTAACAAAGTGGTCATCCTCAGGTGAGAATAAAACTAACTAATTTAACAATTGTTAAATTAGTTAGTTTTATTCTCACCTGAGGATGACCACTTTGTTAAACAATTGTTAAATTAGTTAGTTTTATTCTCACCTGAGGATGACCACTTTGTGGTCGAAACGCGTTGTGCTATTAAAATAAAAGTTTGGTGTGACGGGCTAATCGTGTTTTTGTTCATCGTTTCCATACCAAGAAGATCCAAGAAGAAGAACACTGAAAGTTATAAAAGTGTAAGATTTTTTGAGGGATGTTTATATCTTAAAGATATGGAAAGATTTAGCACTAAATCTCGCAATATTTGATATTTCGTAAAGCGGCATAAAAAATTATTTAATTTCTTAATTAAAATTATAAATTTTAAATATTGAAAAAGATTGAAGAATGTGTAGATTTAAAAGTTTTTTCAAACTGTATTCTCTAAAAGATTTTAAGGACAAGAATTATGTATTATTTTGGCAGTGACCAATATTTTGACAAGATGTGGAGATTTTAATTTTTTCTCAATGTTTTAGAAAAAAATTCTGATATAAAAAGTTGATTTGTGAATACAAATAAAATGAATTGAAAGTTATAATCTAGAGATCTTCAACAATTCTAAAAAAAAAGAGAACTCGATAGTTTGAAAAAGTCAAAATCTTGACGAAGGGTTCAATCGGGATCTTGAGGAAGGCGTAAATTTTGTCAGACAGAAGGTTTTTCAGAAAAACAGAGGTTTTAGTTTCTTAATAATTACGAGTAAAAAACGTGAAGCTTAAGAAGGATTTTTTATCAAGAGTTCATTAACAGCTAGCTGGTGGTGAAGTAATGCTGACTTTTTAGTTTTTTCTTATCTTACAGGTTGCACAAATTTCACCAAAAGACAAATTGACCAAACCATCATTTTCAGAAACCTGTTTTGAGCAGTCTTTTTCTCTGACCGGGTAATAAAATAATTGTTCCTTTTCGAGAACACCAAAACAGCTTTTTGCGACATACCCAATGCTGACAAATTAATAATTTTGACCTTTTTTGTCCGCTCGTTCTAATTCTGTGGTGAAAGTTGCACACGGATGAAAGAATTCGCGAACGTACAATTCATTCGCTTGATTTAATTAACAATTTCTCATAAATTCGGCATTTTTCAATTTAAAAAATCCGACTTGCAACAATGCCTGCATTTAGACAAGTAAAAGTCGCCAATGACGTATAATTGCAATAGCTTAAATGGTCACAGAAATCACCATTAACATTTGTTTATTTATAATCAAGTGGGCATAGTGTGGGTTTACGCGCGATTTTTCCTATCTTCGCAAATCGCAAAACATTCTTCCATTTTTTGCCATACTTTAAAAAAGGGAAATTTTTGTACGTTTTAATTTTACTTTCGGTCGAAGGCCGTTCCCAGGACCCCGACTAACGGTACCATTGCAAAATCGGTACCCATTTATGGTAATTATGGCCGGTAGGTGGCGTAGGAGGACCGGTTATTTCGCGATGATAGGTTTATTGTCGGCTGGAGTGGCCCTTTGTTGGTCTTTTTTTCCAAGAATTTACCTGGTCTCGAGTACGGTACTAGTCGCACGCCAGGTAAGGAAAGTTGCAGCTTAGGGGCGGGGGTGCGCGGGGGTTGTTACCGTTACGAACGAGTCGGTGGCGCCGCATCGGCAAATACTTTGACTCTACATGGATTTCTTCTTTCAATCGAGATCTCGATTTACGCCGCTTTTTGCGCTTGGTGACTTTTCGAAGCGAAGGTTTGCCACGTTTAATTGGCAACACTGATTACTATTACGGTTTGATAACGAAAAAGAACTTGAATAACGTATTGTTTTGACTCCCATGTTTGATTTTGCACTGTACTATCTTTATTGCTTGTTTATTTACTTTTATTTTCTACTTTACCAGGTGATACCGACACAATCCGACTCTTGCAACGACTTATTTATAGTAAAAAACGAGAAAATTGCGTTAAAGTTCATTCTTGCGTGTTATGATTGAAATGTCATAATTTTAATAGGACATTTGTGTCATGTACCAAATTTGATCAAATACCAGTATGATCTTTTTAAGTAAAAGAATGTTAAATGTACCTAACTAGAGCGCGGGAAAAAATTTCTGAAGCGAGACGGTTTTTAGTAAACAAAGATTTAAATACCACGACCAAGAAAATTTAAATATTTAAACTTCTTATCAGTCGTTTCGAAATGTAGTTATTTTAAATACAGCGTAGAAAGCGTTACCAAAACACAGCTTCCAAACAAAGGATCTTAAAAAAAAATGTATTTCGTAAAACAAACTTATAATTACTGCTAATTTTTTTTTTTTATAAAAAAAGCTTTCTGAAAGAAAGCTTATTTCGATACCAAAACCGATGCTTTAATGAACCATTTCAATACCAATTCGAGTGCTGCACACCACATACCTATTTTTATTTTTCAAACTTTGTGACATTTATTACCAACATTATTAGGGCAAAAGTTTCTAAATTTTGAAAAATTGACTTTTATTTTAAAAAAGTAAGTAAAACGCGCAAAATAGAAAAAATCTCATTAAAAAAATTGTTTCATAAGTCATAGTGGAAAAACTTTGAGGAAGAAAGATAATCATCTACCAGTTCATAATTGAAAATTCACAAGCACTATAAAAAAAAGATTTTGATAATCAACATAGATTTTTGACATAATTGATGGATCTTGGAAAAACTGGAAATTGTAAAGGTGGAGGGATGTTTACATCTTGAAGATATGGAAAGATTTAGCATTAAATTTCGCAGTATTTGAAGTTTCGTGAAGTGGTATAAAAAAGTGTTGCAATTTTTTAATTAAAATTATAAATTGTAAATTTTTTTAATTTTTTGTCAAACTGAATTTCCAGAAGATTTTAAAGACAAAAATTATACATTATTTTGATAGTGACCAATATTCTGATAAGATGTGAGGATTTTCATTTTTTCTCAATTTTTAAGAAAAAAATTCTGATATAAAATGTTGAATTGTGAATACAAATAAAATGAATTGAAAGGTACGTATATAATCCAGAGGTCTTCAATAATTCTCAAAAAAAGAGATAAAACTTGGTGACATATATTACCAACCACCAAAAGTTTCTAAATTTTGAAAAATTGACTTTTATATTAAAAAAATACGCAAAACGCGCAAAATAGAAAAAATAGCATAAAAAATTGTTTCATAAGTCATTTAAAACAAAACAAAACCCGTTCTTTAATATACTATTTCAGGTGAATTTTAACACTTAAAAATCTCAATTTTCAAAATAGTGTTATTTTGGTTTCTAACATTTTGCAGCGCTATTTGTAGATTGCTAATTTTTCTCCTATTTTTTTTAATTGTATGTTAGACTTAATTTTTATGTAGAAAATGGTTAAAAATTATACAAATAGTCAATGATGTTACAGAATTTTTTACGTCTCCTTTACTTTTATTTTTCAATTTTACTATTACTTAAAATTCTAAGAATGTTTGCTAAGCACTGCGTCTGCGCAATGAATATTTTTAACACGTTTGCTGTGTGCTATAACTTTAATTGATAATTTGATTTAATGACAATTTTTTTTTAAATCTAAAAAAAAACAACATATATGTAAATACATTCATAACCCATCTTCTTTCGTTTTGGATCCGAGAAAAACTTTTAATTTGTACAGAAAAAAATTGTGTCTAAATGTGTCTTCGACGATAATAATAATTTTATCGAACTTGATCCAGAGGTCACTTTTTTCTTTTAGGTCAAGCAGGAGCTTTCTTTGTTTTAGAAAATATCGTCTTGGTGCTTTTCGGTTTTAATGCTTTAGAAGCTGTTTCTGCTATAGCTTAAAATGGCGATCTACGCACTCTTTTCAGCAAAATCTTTCGATTTGAGTCGAAATGTGTTGATTTTTAGTGTTATACAATATTTTTAAGACAAGAGGTGTCTTCAGTGATTATTTCCAAGTCGTTGCTTGTAGAAATATTATTGCAAATGTCAATAAAGTCTGTTTGCTTTGAAACATCTGCTCAAACTGTCTTTTTCTGCGAAAGCCGAACACTACACTTTTTGTTATTTTTGTTGTCAAGGACTTATTTTTGATTTTTTTTTTTCAGTTTGCATTGGGACAAACGGCCGCATGTCTGTCCCCTCGAACCGCGAGCACCACTACCGCAACCTGAAAGACCGCTACACCAACTGCACTTATGTCGACGGCAACCTGGAGTTAACCTGGCTTCAAGACGAGAACCTCGATTTGAGTTTTCTCCAGTACATCCGCGAAGTGACCGGCTACGTCCTCATCTCGCACGTTGACATCAAACGGATTGTCCTCCCCCGCCTCCAGATCATCCGCGGTCGCACCCTCTTCAAGATGAACGTCCGCAACGAGGAATTCGCCCTTTTGGTCATCCTCTCCAAGATGTTCACGTTGGAACTCCCAGCTTTGCGCGACGTCCTCATTGGCAATGTCGGTGTTTTCAACAACTACAACCTCTGCCACTTTAAGACCATCAACTGGAAGGAAATCATCACCGACCCCAAGAGCAAATACGTCTTTGTCTACAATTTCACGTCGCCGGAACGCGAGTGTCCCGCTTGCCACAAGAATTGCGTGAAGGGGTGTTGGGGGGAGGGCGAGGAGAACTGTCAGAAATTCTCCAAGGAGAATTGTAGTCCCCAGTGTTATCAAGGTCGGTGTTTCGGGCCAAACCCGAGGGAGTGTTGTCATTTGTTTTGTGCGGGGGGGTGTACAGGACCGAAACAGAGTGATTGTATAGCTTGTCGGAACTTTTACGATGATGGGGTTTGCACGCAGGAGTGCCCCCCTATGAAGATTTACAGTCCGATTACGTACTCCTGGCAGGATAATCCTAACGGGAAGTATGCATATGGGGCCACGTGTGTGAAAAATTGCCCCGAACATTTGCTCAAAGACAACGGGGCTTGCGTCCGGTCGTGCCCCCCGGATAAAAAGGCACATGAAGGGGCATGTGTCCCTTGTAACGGGCCTTGCCCTAAAACATGTCGGGTTGATACGTTAATCCACTCTGGGAATATTGATAGTTTCAAGGGTTGTACTGTGATAGAAGGGAACATCTTGATTTTGCAAAACACCTTCGAAGGGTACCAACACTTTTACCCCAATTACACTTTCGGCGCGAGGTATCCAAGGATGCACCCCGACCGTTTAGAAGTCTTTAGTACCCTTAAAGAGGTCACTGGGTATATTAACGTCCAAGCGTACCATTCTGATTTTACCAACTTGTCGTACTTTCGGAATTTGGAAGTGATCGGTGGTCGCTCCCTCTCTGACTATTTTACCTCACTTTACATTGTCAAATCATCACTAAAATCTCTAGAATTGAGATCTTTGAAACGGCTAAATGCCGGGACTGTCGCCATCTTGGAGAATACTCATCTGTGTTTTGCGGACAAAATCAATTGGGATAAAATCAGGAGAAGTCACGAGCATGTTGTCATGATTTCTAACAATGGTGATCCTCAGCTGTGCAAAGGGAACAATTTTGTGTGTGATAAGGAATGTAGTAGTGATGGTTGTTGGGGCGCAGGACCTGACCAGTGCCTTTCCTGTGCCCACTTCCAGCTCGAAAATGAGAGTCGGTGCATTGCCAACTGCTCCGTCCTCCCTGGGTAAGTACCAAACAGGCTAACATGGGTAGTACTTGAGAATAATTAGAGCGGAATTTTGCCAGTTTGGTTACTTTTTAAAGTGAAACTTTTTTCCATCGCCTTAAATTTTTTCGTCCATCTATCGCATGTCGCATTACAGCCGGCCGCGGCCATGGCTCGCTTCAGCTGACCGTGTAGCATTTATATTCTTACTCATTCGTGCAAGTGCTCCGCGGTATTTGTGTGTTTGATCAGTGTATTGATCCGAAAAAAAGTTTCACTTGCATCGTAGTTTCTTTAAACCATTTCCAAAATTTGTAGTTTTAGTGGTACTATACTGCACACTTTTGGGTTCTTAATATAGTTAATAACTATCTTTAAAAAATTTGAAAGTTCCAAATTTTCTTACGTTTTCTCCACATAAATAAGAAACTACATTTTAAAGTTAAATATTTTGAACTGTCCGTATGTTAAATGTTTTGGGAAATCGATTGGCTTCAAGAAAACCGCGAAATTCTAGGTACTTTAGGAGTTATCGACGGATATACAGGGTGCGCCTAAACTCGCGCCCCAGAAAAAAATGTAATGTAAGGTATTATAGCAGGAACATCGAAAAAATGTTAAAAAAATTCTATCTATAAAAATTTCGAAGTTATGAGAGTTTAAATTTTGCACTTTTACTCTAATTATTTCTGTTGAAAAAATAATTTTTCAATTTTTCTTTGCGACAATCTATTAGAAGAGGGAACAAGGAAGGGGTATCCTAAATCGTAACTCCGTTTAATGTTATTTGTGGCTTTTATTGACAAAATTTTTGTACCTTTACTAAAAAATTATAAATAGACATACAAGATCATCAGTATCATTAAATAGACATAAAAAACTGTCAAAGGTCAAAAAATAAATGTCAAAATTTTTTGATAGAATTTTTTAAACATTTTTTCATGTTTCTGGTATCTTATCTTACTTGAAATTTTTTTCTGGGACGCGAGTTCTGACTCATCCTGTAGATTTTACTTTTTTTTGGCTTATTTCAGCGATTTTCTTTTATAGTTACGCATCACAGAACGTGAACTTTTTTTGTAAAATAGCGAATTAAAAGTACTTTTTCGTGTACTTAATAGAAATTGCAAATTGATAACATTGTTTAACCCAAAACCACCGCCTCCTTAATCAAATGTATCAATATTCCGCCTGGGCATTTCGTAAAAATGCATTAGAGCAGTGATTTCGAATGATTTTGAATTATTAACGAAAAAACTGGATATGTCAAAAAATTTCCCCAGATTAAAGCGCCAACGGGAATCAGTTCAACTCAAAAAATGCGAGAAAAGGATTATTTCTATGGAGACGGTCCAAAATAATTAAGAAAAGTGGGACTTTTCAGAAGAAAAACAATAGCAACACTTTTCTTGTTAGCAACACCTTTTTTTTTATTTCATCATCCACGAGGTGGAATAAAGCGTCCGATTTACACTCAAACGAGTTGAATACAACATTTTATTCTTTGAGTCAGACTCAATAACTTAAACTTGCTTTAAATCTGTTAAAAATAATCTGACGTTTCGTATTGAAAAATGCCAAAAGTTGTCGAAACTTCCTTACACGGGAGAATTTTCGTGAAGTCGTGAAGTACACGAAAAAATTACGTGTTCAACGCATAAGAAAAGTGAGTTTTCTTTACTTGTACAATCTGCTATTTTTACGGTATCAAACAAATTAGGTTACGACCAGTAGTTTTGGGGATTTCGGCAAAAATCCGACTCGATTATTGGAATTTGACCAAAATGGAATAAATGTAATCAAATGATGATTTTAGTAGTTTTAATGGAAATAGCTACTTGGAATAACACACGAAACGATCGTTGGTCGAGTTTGAAGTAACCAAATGGCGAAAATTTTGAATTTTTTTTTATATTTCTTCTCAAATTCCACATAGTCATTTTTTTATGTATCTTGTCTTCTAGGATTTACCAAGACGGTCCCAACATCTGCAAACGTTGTCACGAGGAATGCGGGTCTTCATGTACGGGCCCAGGGGCCGACAAATGCGTCACTTGTAAGAAATTCCAAGATGGCCCCTACTGCGTTCCCTCATGTCCCACCAACAAGTACCATGAAAACGGGCAGTGTAAGAGTTGCCACCCTAACTGTGTCCGGGGATGCACCGGACCGGCCAACACAGTCGGCTTCGGTGGATGCAACTCGTGCGACCGAGCAATTATGAACGACAACAACTCATTGGTGTATTGTTTGGGTACCCATGAGCCTTGTCCCGATGGATACTTCAATGAGTATTTGGGGCCGCAGGAGAAGGAGTCGCTCAAGTCGTTGGCGGGGTCGGCGCTGTGTCGGAAGTGCCACCCAAGGTAAAAACAATTTTTTGTCAATCGCCGTGTAACATACGAGTTTTTTCAGATGTAAGCTTTGTTCCGGCTTCGGCTTCCACGAGCTAGTCTGCCAGAAATGCACTCACTATAAAAAAGGCGAGCAATGTGAGGACGAATGCCCCTACAACGACTACGCCGACGATGAAGTCCAAGAGTGCAAACCTTGCGACTCAGAATGTCGCGGGTGCACCGGCCCCGGCCCTGAAAACTGCAAATCCTGCGAAAATTACAAGGTTTTCGACGACGGCTACGTCTCAGAAAACTCCTCGTTTCGCTGCATGTCCTCCTGCCCACCCGAATTCCCCCACAGGGTCTTCCCCGACAATTCCAACGCCTACTGTTCAGACAAACCCCTCAACTTGCCCATTTCGGGCTTTGTCGAGAATAACTACACCGTGGTCATCGCGACTGCAATCACAGGTGCCATCATAATCATCATTATTATAGTCCTGGTCACGTGGTTCTGTCGCAAGAAGGTTAAAGCGGAGGAGAGTACGCTTAAAATGACCATGGCGTTGACGGGGCTCGAGGACAATGAGCCCTTGAGACAGACTAACGTCTCCCCCAATTGTAAAAAACTGCGAACCATCAAAGAAACAGAAATTCGGAGGGGGGATATTTTGGGGTATGGGGCATTCGGGACGGTTTACAAAGGAGTATGGATTTTGGAAGACGAAAACAATTCGAAAATTCCAGTCGCTATTAAGGTCCTTCGAGATGGTTCAACTAGCAGTAAGGAATTTTTGAGTGAAGCTTTCATTATGGCCAGTGTTGAACACCCTAATTTGCTCCAATTACTCGGCGTGTGTATGACTTCCGAAATCATGCTAATCACCCAGTTGATGCCTTTGGGTTGTTTACTCGATTTTGTGAGGAAAAACCGGGACCGAATCGGGGCTAAGGCCCTTCTCAATTGGTCCACTCAAATCGCCAAAGGTATGGCCTACTTGGAGGAAAAACGCCTGGTTCATCGCGACCTCGCCGCCAGGAACGTCCTAGTCCAAACCCATTCTTGCGTAAAAATCACCGATTTTGGCCTCGCCAAACTCCTCGATGTCGACGAAGACGAGTACAAAGCCGCTGGGGGCAAAATGCCCATCAAATGGTTGGCATTGGAGTGCATCCAACACCGGATATTCACCCACAAATCGGACGTTTGGGCCTTCGGAGTGACCATTTGGGAGTTACTAACATTCGGCGGAAGGCCTTATGATAACGTCCCAGCGAGGGACGTCCCCGAGTTGCTCGAAAAAGGGGAGAGGTTGCCACAACCCGAGGGTTGCAGTATTGATGTTTACATGATTTTGGTCAAATGTTGGATTCTGGATGCCGAAAGTAGGCCTAGTTTTAAGGAGTTGGCGGAGGATTTTGGCAAAATGGCGCGAGATCCCTGCCGCTATTTGGCCATTTCGGCCGATAGGTTCAGGAATAGGAATAACAACGCACAGGTAAAAATGTCAAAGAAAAATAAACTAAAAAAAAATAACTAAAATAAATTCATTACAGGACGACCGCGATTTGGTGCGGAATCTAGCAACAACGCTCGAAACCTCCGCTAGCCAATCCGAATGCGACGAGTACCTGCAACCCAAGTCACGTGCGCCTTTGCGTCCTATTGGTTGGTCGTCCGTATCCCCTTCCCCCACCCCCGACAAATACTGGAAGTCCGCGTCGCAGACCAATTCGGACGGAAGTTGCAACCCTCAATACCAGAACCACTTGAACCGGAAGTTGCTCAAATACCCCCCAAGCACCCCCAACGTCCCCATCGACACTTTGAAGATGCGGGACGACATGTCGTCCGACGAGTACGACTCTGGGCCCTCGAAAGCCCAGTTAGGTAGTCTCAAATTGGACTTACCGGTCGACGAGGATGACTATCTAATGCCGTCGCCGCAGCAGACGCAAGGAGCTTCGGCTTACGTCGATTTGATCGACTCGAAAAACAGTGACAATTCGAATCAAAGTGTGTTCAGATCTTTGGACTTTTACAAGAGTAATATTGACAATCCTGAGTATCTTATGAACAATGATGGGGCTCCCAGTCAGACGGTGGGTTTGCCTCCTGTTGCGGAAAATCCGAATTTTCCTGGTTTGCAACCGCAGAGAAGTTCGGAGGAGGAGTCCGATCACGAGTACTACAACGACTTTGATAGACTGCAGAGGGAGTTGCAGCCGTTGCAGAGGAACAAAGACGGGGCTATAGTATGAACGAAGCATGTACAAAAACGGCCTTTTGTACTTTTGAGGGAAAAGGCTGTGTTTCATTGACGATAGATACTTAATTTCGTAGATTTTAAGGGTAGATTAGTGTCAAAATTGTGACATAAATAACGTGCCATCAGGGCATGGTTTTTGTAAATAATAAACAAAAATACGATTTTTATTATCAAATGTATATACCTAAAACGTATTTTTTTAGTTGTTTTTAAGATTTATTAACAAGTTGGGCGAGTTGCGGAAGCGCCAATCCTATACGTTCTTGCCCAGACGCGACTGTGATAAAAACGATCTTAATGGAAAAAATCTCATCCACTTAACATCTTCAGGCCTCATCTAAACCCAGTTTATTGTTTTCATTTTTGTTTTATTGTTTGTTTATAAGGTATCAAAAATTCCTCTAATGGAATTAGAAAAGCTTGAAATGTTCGGCCTCATGCAAATCTCAATTGTACATAATTTTATTTATGTAGAAATAGATTATTTTTGTTAATATTTGCACTAAACTTGTGCCATTCATATCGACATGTGCCTATGTTATTTTTCCATGTTACTACGTTTATACAAAATTTTAATAAATGCATATATTTCATAAAACGAGCTTTCAATGTATCCCATACCTTCATACAAAAACATTAGACGTGATCTACAACATCACTTCTTGGAACAAAAAATTGAGTAAAAAAATACTGTGGAGATTAAAAAATAAGCGAAAAATCTCAGGTGACCATAACAAATTGAAGAAAATTGAGATCACAGGAACGCAAAAACCATATTCCAGAATTTAAAATATTAAAATGTATCAGGAGTAGGTAGTATTAGGATTACAGAACAGTAAAGAGGTATTCTTAACTTGAAATTGAAAAATTTTTAAAAATATAGGTGTATTAGGATTAAGAATTAAAATTTTTGTTTACAATTCTGCAAAATATTGGTATAAAGATAACAGTAACGCAAAGAAATAATTTAAAATCTAGAAAGCATTTTTGCGTTCCTGTGACCTGTACTCCTGATACTTTCAAAATTTTGTAAATTTTTAGCGGTTTTAAATTTGAAATACCTCTTTACGTTTCTGTGATCCTAATACTATTCCTGATACTTTGAATATTTCGCAGAATTTTAAGCAAAAATTTTAATTCTTAAAATCTGGAATACCTCTTTTCGTTCTTGTACTCCTGATACTTTTAAAAATTTGCAAATTTTTAGCGGTCATTAATTTGAAATACCTTTTTACGTTTCTGTGATCCTGGTACTCCTGATACTTTCAAAATTTTGCAAATTTTTAGCGGTTTTCATTTTGAAATACCTCTTTACGTTTCTGTGATCCTAATACTACTCCTGATACTTTGAATATTTTGCAGAATTTTGAGCAAAAATTTTAATTCTTAAAATTTGGAATACCTCTTTTCGTTCCTGTGATCCTGGTACTCCTGATACTTTAAAAATTTTGCAAATTTTTAGCGGTTTTCAATTTGAAATACCTCTTTACGTTCCTGTGATCCTAATACTAATGCTAATAGTTTGAAAATTGTGCAGAATTATAAGAAAAAAATTAATTCTTAAAATATGGAATATCTCTTTTCGTTCCTATGAACCTGGTACTCCTGATACTTTCAAAATTTTGTAAATTTTTAGCCGTTTTCAATTTGAAATACCTCTTCACATTTCTGTGATCCTCATACTACTCCTGATACTTTGAAAATTTTCTAGAATTTTAAGCAAAAATTTTAATTTTTAAAATCTAGAATACCTCTTTTCCTTCCTGTCATCCTGGTACTACTGATACTGTTAAGAGTAGTATTAAGGTCATAGAAACGCAAAGAGGTATTCCAAATTTAAAATTGCTAAAAATTTGCAAAATTTTGGAAAGTGTTAGGAGAACCAGGATTTCAGGAAAACAAAGAGGTATACCACATATTTAAAATGAGAATTGTTGCTAAAAATTGACAAACTTTGATAGTATCAGGGAATTAAAATGTTTGCTCAAAATGATTGAAAGTACAGGAGTAGTAGTAGTATTTAAAATTTCAAGAATTAATTTTTAGCGGTTTTAAAATTTGGTATAACTACCTCTTTGTGCCTGTCATTCTAATACTCCTGGTGCTTTTAAAATTCTAAGTATAACTTGTTAAAAATTTGAAATAAGAAAAAAACAGATAAGTTTTATTTTATTAAAGGTCAGTTAAACCATTACATTTCGTTTGATAAAAATTATTTACACCGCTTAAAATGTAAGAAAATACAATCACTGATTAAAGTTAGATAAGTGAAGTCATAGATTTCATAACATCGCACACAAACAATAGAAAAAACCGTGCAAATTGGACACTTAGGAACGAATAAAAAACCAAATCATGTTTTATGACTTTTTTGCTTTCTTTTTATTAAATCGTCTAACAATCCATCGCGGTATCCTTCTCCCAATCTCATTCTTCAACTGTCTATAAACCATGACTAACAAAACAGGAATCGCCAAAAGTTCATTGCTGAACAAATACAACCAACAAGCCACAAAGAACATCGCTAGATCAGTGAGATAATCAACAAAGCTTCGAACTTTGACTTCAGCTTTGGCCAAAAGCTCCTCTTGCCTCCTGTCGTGAGGCGTTGAAGCTCTGGAATCGCTGGAATAGTTCAGCTCCAAACCGATGGAAGTCTGAGTCATGATTTCGCGTAATTTGGGTCGAGGTTTGGCTAGTGGGATCGGTGATGGCGATTTTCTGACTTTCATGGGAGAAGGTGAAGTTTTGCGTTTTACGGGGGAAGGACTGGTTTTGCGTTGAGACCGGCCTGACCAGTTTTCAAGTCTAGAAGGGGACCGAGAGGGGGTTTTAGAACGACTGGAAGCTCTACGAGGTTTATGATTGATGGTTCGGCCCCTTTGCTGGCTTGGGGGAGCTTTTTGTGGAGAGGGGCTCCTTTCAGGTGGGGGTGTTTTGGGTGGTGATTCTATTTCTTGAGATTTCATTGGCTGTTCACCTTGTTCTTCATTGGTAGTACTCCAAATTTTCGTTGCTTCTGCCTCCCCCCAACTTTGGGGTAATATTTGAGGATTACTCTTCTTTCTTTGACTATAACTTCTCTCAATGTCAACTTCTCCTTTGTTTTCCTCATTAGTGGTACTCCAAGTTTTCACTTCTGGTTTCATTTCTTCTGTTTCTCTCCAGCTCTGGGGCATTATTTGCGGATTACTCTTCTTCCTTTGACCATAACTCCTCACAATGTCCATATAATGATCCACCACAACTTTTGACTCTTCTTCATCATTCTTCTTCTGAAGCAGTTTCTCTGGTATGACAATACTAGCAGCAGTAATACCGCAAAGAGTCGCTACTGCTGAAATATTCCGGCCTGGAGCAGCCTGAAGTGTTGGGGAGATTTTTTCAGGTTCGGTATTTTCATCAGCAACAAGAGAAATCGAGCGTTGGAAAATCTTATTTTTGCCATTTGACAATTCTAGTGGTGGTTGAGCCAAAGATTGCGAGCGCCCTCTAGTCACTTCTTGTCTAAACTGAGGCATGGGTGAATGTGACCGGACTTTGGTACTTGGAACCTGCTTTGGTGGTTCTACTTTATCTTCAGTTTTCTTCAAAATGGGCTTTGGTACGAAATTCGGGTCCGGAAGTTTGTTCCTTTTGGTTAAAATTTCAAACGGTTCGTCACTCACTGAGGGTTTCCGGGGCGTCGTCATAGCTCCCGGATGGTACGTTTCTTCTTCATCGCTGTAAATTCGGGTAGGGGGTTGGATATCGAAATCCCGTTCATCTTCAGATTCTGTTTCCGACTCTGATAAACTTTCTTCGTAATCCTCTAACCACTTATCTTCATCGACCACTTCAATGCTTCGTTTTTCAAAACTGGACTGTCCTTGTAGACCCATTTGTGCCCTAACTCGATTAAACTCTTCTTCCTCTCGCTCTTCAGATTCTGATCTTTGCCTAATCATTTCTTTCTTTGGGGTGTCAGTGTCTGAATTTTGCCTCGGCAATTTTTGCAATTTCGTTTCGATAAATTCATTCAAATCGTTCGAATTCTTCAAACTGAACCGTTTCTGGGCCCAGAGTAGTTGCTGCTGGACCACACTTCCTGAAGATTTTCTGCGAGAAGGTTTCCGCTCTAGACCGACAATATCCTGATCGTCCTTAGAATTGATTTGGATTTTGGGAATCTCGATGTTGTGTTGTCCGTCATAACTGAACCTTCTTCTTTTCTTCAAATCTTCTTCTTCAGCGGCTGCAGCTTCGTTAAATCTCATCATGGCACGTTCGTGCAACAACTCAGTGGAACTCGCTGATGTTTTCAAGTTTTCGAAAACAGGGGGTTCTGCGCCTAGCTCAGGAGCTGAGAGAGACAGTGGTGGCGGAATATCGAACTCGTTGAAGTCGAACTCGAAATTTTGACTGGACCTTCGACGACCTGAAAAATGACCAACAAAATTTTCTCTGCTGTTAATTTCAAGGAAAAATTCTACTCACCTTTTTCATTAGCATCCGGATACAACACCAGCATAAACTCTGAACTCTCTTCCGACTTTTCCCGAAGGAGACTCCTTTTGTCTTTCGGACTCGGAGTTTTGCTCTTATCTTCTGGTGTAAAATTAGGACTTGGAGTTCTCGATTTTGGCGGACTTGGACTTTTGGTTTCAAGTGCTAGAGGACTATTTGTCTTTTCTGGTAAATTTTTCCCAAAAGTGGGTTGTAGTAACTCTTCGGTTTTCTTCATTTTAAGTTCCGGGCTGCCGTAAGCCAAATCACGGGCTAGGGAAGCCCGATCGAGGATTGTTTGTGGACTGACGTCCTTTCGGACTGGGCTGGGTGAAGCTTCTGGGGTTTTTGGAGGACTTTTAATTTTGTTTCGTTCTGGACGTTTGGGCGTTTCATCGTAGTAGTTTGTGAAGGCTTCTGCTTTAGCTATGGATGATTGTGATCGGGGTTTTGGTCGTCTTTTGGCTGCAATTGGGACTGACGTGATTTCATCGATGATGTCCTTAGGTTGGCTTTGACTGCGCGCTTGGGGCGAAGTGATCCCTCTTTTGGGGTCAGGGATGAAAACAATGTCTGATTCGTCTCCGGGTTCGCTAATCCCGTATGGACTCTCGGCTTTGACCCGGAATTTGTACTCGCTTCCTTCGATTAAGTCCCCTAGGATTGTGGTGAGTTGTCTACTAGTGGCAGCTTTGAGCCAAACGTTCCACCCAAGTCTGTAGTACTCCACGATGTAATTTCCAATTTTGCAACCCCCGTCGTCGTCGGGGGTGCTCCAGGAGAGGGTCACTGACCGTCCTAGGGTCATCACGACCCTCGCCCGGCCTGGTGGTGAAGGCTTGTCGGTGATGGTGACCAAAAACGAGGCCAAATCTTCCCCAATCTTGTTGACAGCCTTAATCTGGTACTCCCCTCGGTCACCTCTCGTCGCTTCAGCGATTTTCAAAACTGAACACTTATCGACGTACTCGATTTCATATCGGTCGTTATTTTGAATCGATTCTCCATCATGGCTCCAAAAAACCAATGGAGTCGGCCTTCCAGCTACTGAAACCTTCAACCTAATAACTTCTCCAATCTCGAACAACAACCCATCTTCGTATTGTCTCGGTAGTCGAATACTGGGAGGGGCTTCCAGCGTTAGTCTCGCCTTCGTGGACGCATGCCCCGCCTTATTCGTCGCAGTACACTTGATTTCGCCCTCATCCGCCAGCGCACTCTGGTGAATAGTCAACACACTTCGATCATTCTCCGTCAAAATCCTAGTCCTCCTGCTACTAAAAATCTCAAACCCGTCTTTAAACCAGCAAATCTTCGGCGCCGGTTGCCCCAAGAAGTGCACAACAAACTCAACCTTGTCATTCTCGAGAGCAGTTGCGTCTTTGAGCTCTTCAGTAAATTTCGGTGCAGTGATTGCGAATTTTTGCAGAGTTACAGTTAAAGGTTCAGAGATGTCGCTAGGTTCGGAGAGACCGACGCCGTTTTCGGCGCGGACGCGGAATTGGTAGCGCCAACCGGGCTCGAGACCGCTGAGGGTGAGTTCGGGGAAGGGGACGAGGAGGGGCGTGGCGCGGACCCAGTGGGGGGAGCCGGTACGGCGGTGTTCGACGAGGTAGCCGGTGATTGGCGAGCCGCCATCGCGGATTGGCTTAGACCAGGCGATGGTCACAAGGTCGGGGGTGAGGTCGTTGTCGGAGAGGTGGGGCTTGCCGGGCGGGGAGGGGCGGTCTGTAAATATAAATAATTTAGAAATCACTCACTGTTACTCATTGCCAACTTCCTACACACACAAAAAATGAAAGTGTTTCTGGATTTTTATAACTCTTATTTTAAATGTTTTTTATTACTTGCAGATATCTTAGTGTGTAGGAAAGTGTCAAAATAAATAGTATGAATGAAGATGCACGTGTTATTGTTTATTTTGTGTTTTAATGTGATTCACGTAGTAATAAAGTTTAAGTAAAAATAGTGTTGTCGAACTTGGAGTTTATATTTAGAAGGAAATCGGATCATTACGGGAAGAATTTGATGAAAATTTTGTTAAGTGGTGTGAGGATTGACATCATGATCAAAAACTATTTGTGGAAATTGATATAAAAAGTTTGTCATTTAAAAAAAAAAAACAAATAAAGTGTGGAGACCCCCAAACAATTGGCATTTTTGTATCATTAGTATGTTAACATTAATTTATCAATTAATTTTTTCAGTAATAATAATAATACGTTGGTAAAATTTATATTTTTATACTTACTCACTTGAATACCGATGCAGCAATGAAATAAATTCGAACGAATTCAAGTACCTACTGAAGGTTCAGGAAGTGATTTATTTATTTATAAAATAAGCAGTAAGTATATAAATTCTTAACTTCGTTCGTAACGTTGGTTGTCTATAACACTGATTAACTTTTTTCTGTGCTTGTAGATTATCAATTAAAAAGAATAAAAACATTACATAAAACTATGCATTTGTGTTTCTATCAATCTTAAAAAAATTGTTTTTAATTTAATTTAATCTATGAAATAGGTTCAGAAAATGCTCAACAGGTAAAAAAATAAAATCACGCTTTTGTGGGAGTAATCCAAACCAACTTGACGTCAGCTTCTGGCAATACATCCCAAAACATATTGTGCTATAACTTTATTTTTCACGTTTTCTTACCACAACTCCTAGACGCTGGATGGATTAATTTGTCCACTTTTTCTCGCAATTCTGCATAATCTGAAAGTGTGAATTTCAAATTTATCTCTTTAGGTTTCATTTTCCAACACAGTGCCCCTGTTTCATTAATTAGTTCTGATTTTCATACAAAATAAGGCACTGTATTTTCATTTAGAGACAACATTAAAAAGAGTGCCTACTACAAGTGCCAAGAGTGGTAGTTGCAGCCCAGCGTGCCTAAAGGTGCAAGAGGCGAAAGACTACTGTGCTAGTTATTTTTTCTAGGCATTTTTTGAGAATCAAGCTAGTGCTATTTACAGTAGAATAGAGAAGAGTAAACATCCCTAATAATCCAGAAAAAAACTGTTTTGATAAAGAGCCAAATCTTTTCCCATTAATAAAAATAAGTTTTTACCCCACTTTCAAGTAAATCGTTGAAAACTGAATTTGTACACTAAGGTGCATTCCCTGTGGCCTCTTTAGCCACTCTCAATTTGAATAACAATGACATACTGATTATGCAGCGTTGCCGAAGATAAAAATAAGCCACACATAAAACAGCGTACAGAAATAACACAACTTCCAGCTAATACTACAAGCCTCTAACTCGTTTGATTTAACACCACCAAACCAAACTTTTGAAAAAAGTTACCTGCAGCCTTCCAGTGTACTTGTTTTTTATTTCTTGGTTTAGGATGGGGCTTCGCGTGTGTGTTCCCCATAGTACACTATCATCTCGGCAAGACCGTCACCACTATGCCAGCGAGTTAAAAATAACTTGGATCTACCAACTGTACGAATCGAAACAAGGCTGGAAACCAGCAACACACTCAAACACAAAAAAACTTTATTCAACCAACAAATACTTACAAAAACATTAAACATAAAAAATATAAAACAATAGTTATGAAAAAATTAAGCGCTGAATTTGTAGTATGGGCGCCAGCCAAAGATGGAGTAGTAAAGCTCAAGGAGGTTTTCGAGATTGAAATCCATTTCCTTCAATTTCGAAGCAACTTTTTTCATCGGGGCTTCGCCTAAAGCCTTCTCCAGTATCTTCCTTGACTCCTCACTCTGCATTTTTGCGACGAAATTGCGATAAGTGTCAGTGTTGCTTTCTTTGGCAAGGTAAGTTTGGGCAGCTTGCAGGATCAAAACCGAATAAGTGGCTCTCACATCTTCGACAAACTTGCCAATGCTTGGTTTAATTTTTTCCACTTTGAAGTCTTTAGTATCGGTGGCATTGAGGCAGTGCTCGAGATGTTTAATTACAAATTCGATATCGATGGCATTGTCGTTGAGAAACTTCTTGTATTCTATCCAAGCTGGATTTTTTCTAACGTCTTCAATCATTTGGGCCCATTCCGGTGACTTGAAGTAAACGACAGCAGCTTGGAAACCAGTATCCTCCTTCAAATGCTTCTCTTTCAGGTCTTGCATTGGTTTCAGAGGGACTTCTTTGAAGAAATCAGCAGCAGGGTTGTTAGTTGGGGTAGGGGCGGGGAGGGGGAAGGAAGTTTGCAGGAAAGCAAACAAGACAAAAGCAAATAATACCTGAGGAATATTAAGGGTGAATGAGTGTTTTAATAAATGGGAAAAGTTTTGTTTACCATCTTGCAGTTTCAAGTTTGGGTTTTCGCACAGAGAGAAAATATTTCGTTGATTCTGTCGTATTTTTCAGTTTGTTATTTGGTTGTCAAGGAGTTGCTTTGCAGAGCTTTTGATTTTGTGGAGACTCATTTTGAAGCCCTCTAGACATTTCAAATTATTTTTTTCTAATTTCAAATCGAATAAAAATTATCAATTTTCAAAAAGCTGTAGAGAACTGAGTTTTAGCTAAATTTTGCACGTAATAAACAGAAAATTTAAATATTAAAAAATTTATTATCACATAAAATGTACTTTACAAAACTTTGTGACGCGTATTTACAAAATCATTCATTAAACTTAAAATTTCTTTGGCTTTCCCCATCCCAAGAAATCGTAGACGATTGCCAAAACTTCGTCAACTTTGACACCCATGTCTCT